TAAACTGCAAGTTAATTAATGTACTACAGTCACACTACTATTTACTCACACAAAAAATACTTGAGCTCTTCACAATGCCTCAGAGCACCACATAGCCAATAAATACTTTTGAAGTGTAGTCAGTGTTGTAATATAGGAAAACCAGTACCAGTTCAGTCACACCAAAAGTCACAAACAGCTATGTGGTCATGTTCAGATAATTGGTTTTTATGATGTTGATTGAGGGATAAAATTTGACCAATACACCAGAGATAACACCATTGTGTTTTGAAATAGTTCTCCGGGATCTTTTACATCCATCCCAACAGGCAGATAGGGCCTTGGCTTTGTATCTGATCTGACTGTGCACCACAACCTCAACGCTGTACTGGATTGTCAGCCTTGACTTTTGATTTGAAGTCCAGAAGTGGGATATGAACCCCAAACTCTATGAATGGAGCCACAGCTGACACAGCATATACTTCTTTAATTTTATTTCTTCTATTGTTTATACTTAGTCATGGAATTAAAAGTTCCAAAATATGTCAACATGTGTCATTATATTAGCTTTGTGAAACTGCTTTCCACTATGTTCCATACATCTGCCATTTCTCCATTACTTTCTAGATTTCTCCTCTAAATTGTTTATTTGCTTGTTAATCACTTGATTGTTTTGGTTTTATAAACTATGATTGACCTCTTAATTAAAAACAGCTAACAATATTATTTCTGCTACTAGATGTTGTTAGTTCACTTAGGAGATGCTTTGCTGTTCAATGTGTGTTGTGCTTCCTTGCGGCCTGTTGTGGTGGTGTGAGGAAGAGGCCGTCTGAGCAATCTGTTAGAATGGGAACACCACTGATATAACTTGGTCACAGCTCTTTGGCAGCCATTGTACCTCGGAGTTTACGATACCAGAACTTTAGCATACAACTCTACTTGGGGTCCTTTCCCATACTTTGGGAAAGCCAGCTATAGGGCTTCTGAAAATGCCCAGAAAGAATGTAGTGGCAACCAACAGGACCATATTGTTTTATTTGACGCTATATGTCCTATCGCTGCATTGGAATAGGATGCCTGGCTGCTGTGTCATTGCTGTGCACCTGGAACAGTAAATTGGACCCAGTCTGTCTGTACTTGTGGTGCAGTTGACATCATCATTGGGTGCCTGGTATCTATTGATTGCTCACCATCCACATTTTTGTCCCATTTGCCTGCCCAATTTGCTGACTTGCTCCCCACTCCCTGTGTCCCTTTGCTCACTAATCTGCTTACTTCCCTTCTTGCCCACTCACTTGTTGCTCCCCCTGCAACCTTCCATGCTCACCACACCATTCACCAATCCTGTTAGTGAGTCACCCATTTACCGTATAGACAAGATCTGAGCATTTCAGTGGACAAAATGTGGACCTGAAATATATATCTAAGTTTTAAATAGACTGTGATAACAAGGTGTAGAGCTGGATGAACACAGCAAGCCAAGCAGCATCAGAGGAGCAGGAAAGCTGACGTTTCGGGTCTGGACCCTTGTTATCTCAGATTCTCCAGCATTGGCAGTTCTTACTATCTCTGAATCAATCTTTAAATAGACTGTGCTGTCTGAATTACAATTAGCTCCATTCCGTGTTCATGCAGATAGCCAGCTGTGACATTGTTGGTAATGATGTCACATGCACTACAACTGCATGCACAGTGAGTCAGTCCCCTGCAGTTTCAGTGGCAGCAAATACACACTTTATTGAAATAATCTTGTAGATAGGATGTTGCATTTTTATGAACGTAAATACTGTTCACAGTTACTTCACAAAAGCAGCTTTCTAACTCTTCAGATACTTAAAAGTTAACAATAAAACTTGATTGTTACTCTTGGACTTTTCCAAATTAACTTTTTGTTAATAATGAAACATAACAAAAGGTGAAATGTTTGAAATTGTTTGACAAAACATTTAAGGAATTATGTAAATGTTTTGTGATTATGCACAGTTTTCTGACTTGGCTTCTATAAATATTTTAATTTAAAATCTGGATAGTTGATGGTACAAACTATATCTTGAAAGTTGTAAAGGATTTTCAGAGTCCCTAAATCTTAGTTAACTGCTTTGAATCTGGTATTTCCTTTCTAGCTTTCAAAATGCACAGTTCTTTGCTTCTTTCATGTATTATTCCCTGCATAAAAAGGAAGACTTACCACAGTTATCATGTCCTCAGAAAGCACTTTATAGCGACTGAGCCACTTTTGTAGCGTAGTCCCTGTTATAAAGTATGAAGATATTGTAATGTAGTCAATTTGTACACAGGAAGCTCCCTCAAACAATAAAATAGTAATGACCATTCATTCTTTTTGGTAATGTTGATTGACCTAAATTTTTCACCAGGACACTGGGGGAGACCCTACTGATTTTCTTCAAAGTTACATTGTGGGACCTTCTACAGTCACCTTTAAGAGCAAATGGGAACTCTGTTTAACGTTCCCCTCCAACCACACAATATTCTGTCTGTACTGTACTGGAATGCCAACTTAAGTTTTTACACACAAGCCTCTGGCGTGGGCCTCAAGGTCACAACATGCAATTGAATTCAGAGGCAGCTACAGCTGATGAATGAAGAGTAGGCATGGGGCATCCAAAGCTGGAATTACCTGGATGATAAGAATATAAGAATTAAGAACAGGAGTAGACAATTCATCCCTTTGAATGTGCCCTGCCATTTAAAACAATCACGGTTGATCTTATCTTGGCCTCAACTGCACTTTCCTGACTGCTCTGCATAACCCTTCAATTCATTAAACTGATAAAAAAATCTGTCTGTCTCCTCCTTAAATTTTTTCAGTGTCCCAGAATCCACCACATTCCAGGATAGTGAATTCCACAGATTCACAACCCTTTGAGAGAAGTAATTCCTCCTCATATCTGCTTTAACTCTGGCACTTCTTAGTCAAAAACTATCATCTCTCATTCTAGATTGCCCCACGAGGGGAAACATCTGGACCATGCCTATTTTTCAATCTCCTTTAACATCTTATATATTTCAATTAGATCCCCTCTAATTCTTCTAAACTCTAGTGAGTATAGGCCTAAACTGCTCAATCTTTCCTCATAAAACAATCCCTTCATCTCTGGATTTAATCTCACAAACTTTCTCTGAACTGCCTTCAATGCAATTACATCCTTAAAGGAAATATTCTTGGGGAGGCAACGGGCAACTGAATGTGTACTTGACAGCTGTCTTCTCCCAATGAAATGGTTGAAATCAGGTTTGATAGGAAGTTTCGGAAGGCAATTTGGCATGAACTTGAAGAGAACAAATTTGAAGCGTAATGTGGAAGTGTGGGATCAAATTGGACAGTTGTTTCAAACAGTCAGCACAGGTAACATTCTTCTGTGCTGAAAGAATTCTTTCAGATTCAAATGTAAGATTATACGGCAATTTGTAAAATAAAACTTTCTACTGCACTGTTTCGTAAATTAACAAAATTTAGTAAAATGCATTTACATATCCACAAAATTTCAATTGTAAATTAGGTCTAACTATCTCAACCTCTGGTGAGCTTATTAAGCAAAACTTGCCTCTCACCAATCCTTTTCATTTTCTCCTATCTCAGTATTGCTGGAACTGTTTGAATTGTATGTAGTATAATGAGAATAGATATGATAATAAGATGGTGATGCATATAATGATGCAACAGTGACGGCAGCAGTAAAATGCAACAGACTATGAAAGGATAGCATCTTAGTGACAGATGCACTTACAGAGAATAGTATTAGCTACGAGACAAACATGTAAATAAAGGATTTTTATAGCTATGTACCACAGTCAGACAGCAGTTACTCAAGGCTAAGAAGAAATCATTATGGGCCACAAACCACGAGAAGAGAAAGGATGGCTATCTCTTTATTGTGCAGAATAGAACCCCAAACCACAAGCCTCAAGGCAACTGCTCAAACCATTATGTACCTTTTTTTAACCCTTTCCATCCTGACATTTTTGTTTTAAACGCACATAAATTGTTGCTGGAATATATTCTGATTCTGAACTAAGCATTACATTATGTTCAATTAAATTGTTAACACTACCATCACATTGCTTTAATTCAATATGTTTATGGCCCTCCGCCGGGGCTTTTAAGTATTTGCTCAATCTGGTAGATGCTGTTAGCATTCAGTTATATATCCCTGCTCCAATTCTTGAAGAAGCACTAAAGTACACAGGGAGAAATTCAAAGGGAAAACAGATTGAAAAAAAAATGCTGAAGAGGGGGCCATGAAAATTAATGACACCTGCAGCTCCCCTGCAACCAGAAAATTTTCACCAAATGCAGGCACCACAGGTCACCGGGCCTCATCAATGATGAGAATTTAATCAACTTTTAGGCACACATTTTCAGTTTGGCTATTTTGCAGTGTGTTGCCCTCACTTTGTTGGATGGCTTGTAATTGCATTTGTCTGCTGGCAATTGACATGTCAATCAAAACAGAATAAGGCCTCCAAATTTCTGAGGAAGGGTCACTCAACCTGAAACGTTAACTCTGATTTCTTTCCACAGATGCTGCCAGGCCTGCAGAGCTTTACCAGCAATTTCTGTTTTTGTTTCTGATTTGCAGCATCTGCAGTTCTTTCGTTTTCTTTTTAAACAAATTTAGAACCCTGGTGTAACATATGTGGAAATCTTGGCCTTTGGGTGCAAATGGCTGCACCGTTACAAGCTCAACCGTTGCCTGGGAGTTGTGGCCTCAATCAGGTGCCTCTTTAGATTTTGATCTCCAAGTCATGGGACCCACAGCCTTCGGTGTGCATCACTTCCCCCTTTCCCCTGCAACCCGTAGAATGAAAGTAAGACTAATTTTTGCAAAAAACAAAATGGACAAGTTTCTTCCCTCAAGACTGTGAACTCAGGAGGGACCTGGTGGGGCCCGGTGAAGTTTGGGAGCTTGCCCTTTTAAGGGGTGGTGTCCTTTCCGGATTGAACTGAGGATAGGGTAGGGAAGAGGCGGACTGAAAGTGACGGGTACATCATCAGCCCTGGGGGCTGTTTGTTGTGGGGGGGGGGAAGAGAGACCCAGAGACACACGTACACAGACAGTCTGCCAGCTGATGGGTGTAGTAAAGGGGCAAAACAAACGCCTCAGCGGAGTCGCTTCGCCCCTGGACGTTTAGAGGGAGTGAATCTTTAATATTTTTTTTGGGAGGAATAACCAGCTACTCCTGGAGGTTTGAACACCCGCAAGAAGAATATTTCACATACTTTGGGGGAAAAAGAAACACCCCCTCACGAGTGATTTGACAAGCAAAGGCGGCAGGAGAGGTTTTCATTCACTGGAGACGAGACAGATGATAAATTTGTGAAATTTACCCTTTGAACAACCCAAATGTGAACCAGAGAGAGAGAGAGAGAGACACACACACGGGGAAAATGTAGGATCTGCAACAGCGAATAACAGAGGGTTGGTTGGCCGTGTTTCTCAATTTATCTTCTTGTTCATGTCGTTATTTTTGTTTTTTTTTTGCGGGTTGTCGATTGTAATTTTTTTCTCTAAAATCCTTAACACTTCCCCCCCCCCCATCCCCCCCCCCCCCCACCCCCCCCTCCAGGTGTCGGTTCCCGAGTCTCACAAAGTGCCTTCTACATGTTTGCAAGTGTTATGGACGTGAGTGTGTTCAAAAGGAGGAGAGGGTCGAGTTGGGAGATGCGATGGTCACTATGTGTCCTGATGGCAGCCGCGGTTACTACTTGCTCCTGGCCGGACTCTGCCTCTTCGCCGCCTCTTGCTTCCACTCCGAGGACGATTCTCCCTCCCTTCTGGCCTGGCTTTTCTGCAGGCTCCTCTTCTATTCGGCCCTGAGCCTGGGCAGCCTGCTGCTGGGTAGCCTCTTGGTCCTGGCCAAGCAAAGCCGCCTCAAGCCACTCTGCTTCCCCAGAGAGATGGACAAGTCGCCCGGGGCTCCCCAGCTTCTGCGACAGCTCACGGTAAGGTGTGCGACTGACCTGCAAACCACACACACAGACACAACTTGCATTTATATAGTGCCTTTAACGTTGACGAACCACCTCTGACACTTCACGGGGGCATTCATAAGCAAAGTATGACACTGAGCCACATAAAGGTAGAAGTGATTCAAATATTGCCAGACAAAAATTCAGATTGCGTAAAGTCAATATTTCCTGAATTCTAGTCAATCTTAGAGCAAACCTAAAATGTCATTGGGGTCTGCACCGTGTGAACCAGTGCATTTGGAAGCTTCTGCAGTGTTTCAAATCACTTGATACTCTTTAGGATCTTTGTAGTCAGATTCTGAATTTGTCTAGTTTGACTAATGGGACTGCAAATGGATCTGTTATGTCAGTTGACCCAAAAGTGGGGTGAACAAGTAGGCATTGCCTTAAAGGGGGAAAAGTGGAGCAGAGAGGACTGGGGAAATAGGTCCAGAGTTTAGGATTTAAAGCAGCTGAAGTTGTGATCACTAAAATCAGTGGTACATGATACCATAATTAAAGGAGTTGATGCGAGAGTCTGGGATATCTTTCTTTTTGTTTTTGGGGTGGGGGTGTGCATGAGGCTTTATATAGAAAAGAGAAGAAATGAAAATTTGAAATTCAAGCCACTGCTTGAGTGAGAGCTGGGGAGATTGACATTGGACAGGGGCGGTAGAGTTTTTTTGTCAGGCTTCAAGTTGACTTAGGATATAATGTGGTAGATGCCAAGATTGTGTTGGCATAAGAGGATATAAAGTTTTCACTGAGACGTGAGCTGGGACAGGTGGTCAGGCATTGTAATGGAAGTGAAATCAGTTGGTCTGAGTAAATGAAGATCGGAAGCTCATCTTGGGATGAGATATGACATCAATACATTTACACTTAAAAACAACACTGTTTGCAATTTATTTGTTGAAATTAAATCCCCTCCAAAAACAGTTGAGGAAAGGAACTAGAGGGGAGGTGATTCTCTCTTTTTAGGAATGATAATCCATTCCCTGAAAGGCAGCAGGTATAAGAGGAACTTTCAAACGGGAAATTAAATATATATAGTTGAAGGGAATTTTTTTTTTTTAAAAGGGCTATGGGGATAGGCTTATTCTTGGATTAATTGGATAACTTGACCAAAGAGACAGCACAGGCTTCCTTTTATACCATGAGATTCTAAGGTCTTAGCGTAATACATGATTATGATTCAGTTGGAAACCTACTTTAGTACCAAAGAAAAGTACTGCAGATGTCAAAAATCTGAAACAAAAATAGAATGCAGCAAATCCTCAGCATGTCAGGCAGCATTTGTGGAGAGAAACAACTTAACCTTCGAGGATAAGCTTTGGTTAGAATGAAATGTACTGTCTTTGTGACTTGGGATTTATTCCAGCACCAAACGTTATTCCTTTCTGGCTGACATTAATATGATTAGAACACTGTAGATGTTTCAGATAAGACTAGTCCATGCATGCTGATATTAATGTGGTATGTTTCACACTGGCCTGAAAAGATTGCTATCAACTTCATTTGGGAATTAATTTCGACTTCTCTTCAAGGCATAAACGCAGGTTCAGTTTTGCTATTAAGCTGCGTTTTGTTCTCGCTGTGTCTTTTTGAAGCTTGTTCTCTCTTCCTGACCCCTTTTTTTCATTCTCCCTATCCATCTCTGCATGCTCAAATTTGTTCTCTTGAGTTATTGCTCCTGGTCAGCGGTTTCTCATCCACTTTTTCCTCTTGTATATGCTGTATTAAGAACTGTAGTATACTTCCCTGTTCTAAATTATAATTGCCCTGGTCTACAAGCAGGTAGTTGGTGAATGTAATTTATTTGCGCCCTGATTTCTTGAAGCTACTCTATAGTGTAAGTATTATTTTCCGTGAACTAGGTGACACCTAATGTGCGTTGGTGAGATGAAAAGGCTCCATGTATATGACTTGTTAATTAATCACCCTATGATGGAGCAATGTGCAATCAAATATTTGCATTTTTCTTTCTATGAAATTATCTGTCTATTTCAAGAAAGATCACCAAATAAATCTGGGAGGGGATCTTACATGAAGTAACAAGCTATCATTTAAAAAGCCCAGTTGTTATCAATGCCATGAAATTCTTTGCTTTTTTTTTGTAAACATCCAATTTTGGAACAAGTGTCAGGTAGGAATTATTTCAAGCTGCAAGTACATAGTGTATTTGTTGTGCCTTCAAAGCCAGTTGTAGAGATGTCAATCTCCTCATGAGTTAATAACTTGATTCCATAATTTAGGTGCAAAAGCATTTTTACTTTTGCAAGCTGATGGACAGTGATGTCAATCATCTCTCCTATGTAGTGTTTCAGGCAGATGTTTGTTGTAACAACGTTACGTTTGCTTGGTAACTTTTAAATGCAATGAGAGAAACAAGGTGAGGAGTTATGAGGGGGAATTCTGGGGTGGGGGGGTGGATGATGGGAGATGCTCAAGAATAGTTGAAGGCTGCCACCTCGGTGTCAAGTGCATGTAGGAGTTGTAGTCTGCGTAATTGACTTTGAAGACATTATAAATACTCTGTGCACTTGCAGCTTGAAACAGTTCCAACCCAATTTTGAACGCTAGTCCCAAAACTCAATGTCAACAATAAAGTAGTGATGAAGAATTCCAGGGCATTGATGTGATTGGGCTGTTTAAATGATAACATGTTACTTCGTGTGAATCATCAAATGTGTCTAGGAGAGGTTCTAGCTCCTTGAAATGGACTTTTTTTTCTCTGCACCACAAAGAACAGCAATATATGATTGTACTTGGGCTGTCACAAGGTGGCCACTTAGCTCATGTTTACATAAGGTGGAGTGAGGCAGTGGAGGGATTTATAAATAAAATTGAGAAGTTAGTGAAGAGCAGTGAGGACCAGAACATTGGCATACAAAACTTTTGTTACAAATACATTAAGGGCAAAAGAGTAACTAGGGAGAGAATGGGCCCCCTTAAAGATCAATGAAGTTGTCTATGTGTGGAATCACAGGAGATGGGTGAGATACTAAATGAATATTTTGTGTGAACTTGGGATTAATATTGATGTCTTGAAAAGAGTTCATACTACAGAAGAGGAGGTGCAGGAGGCCTTAAACTGCATCAAGGTAGATAAGTCCCTGGACCTTATCAAGTGTATCCCAGAATTCTGTGAAGCTAGAGAACAGATTGCTAGGCCCCTTGTTGAAATATTTGTACGATTGACAGCCACAGGTGAGGTGCCAGAAGACTAGAGGTCAGCTAATGTGGTGCCATTATTTTAAAAAAAAGCTGTAAGGAAATGTCAAAGAACTCCAGTGAATCTGATGTTAGTGATGGCAAAGTTGTTGGAGAGAATCCTGAGGGACAGGATTTACTGCCTCTGGAAAGGCAAGGACTGATTAGGGATAGTCAACATGGCTTTGTGTGTGCGAAACCATGTCTCACTAATTGAGCTTTTTTGAGGATGCAACAAACAAGATTGAAGGCAGTGTTAGATGTCTTACATGTGGACTTGAGCAAGGCATTCAACAAGATTCCACATGATAGACGGGTTAGCAAGGTTAGATTACGTGGGATCCAGAGAGAGTTAGCCAATTGGATACAAAATTAGCTTGAAGGTAGGAGACAGAGGGTGGTGGTAGAGGGTTTCAGACTGGAGGTCTGTGAGCAGTGGTGTGTCTAAAGATTTGTGTTGGGTCCACTACTTTTTGTCACTTATATAAATGATTTGAATATAGGAAGTATGGTTAGTAAGTTTGTAGATGACACCAAAATAGGTGGTGTAGTGGAAGTGAGATTATCTCAGAATATAACGGGACCTTGATCAGATGGACCAATGGGCCCAGGAGTTGTACATGGAGTTTAATTTAGATAAATGAGGTGTTGCATTTTGGTAAGACAAGCCAGGGCAGGACTTCAGTTAATATAGGGCCTTGGGGAATGTTGACCAACAAAGAGACCTAGGGGTGCAGGTGCACAGTTCCTTGAAAGTGGAGTTGGAGGTAGAGAGGGTGGTGAAGAAGGCATTTGACACTCTTTCTTCATTGGTTAGTGCATTGCAAATAGGAGTTGAGATGTCATGTTGTGGCTGTACCGAACATTAGTGAGGCCACTTTTAGAATACTGTGTTCAATTCCGGTCTCCTTGTTATAGGAAAGATGTCGTTAAACTTGAAAGGGTGCAGAAAAGATTTACAAGGATTGTTGCTGGGTTTGGACGGTTTGAGCTATGAAGAGAGGCTGAATAGACTGGGGCTATTTTCCCTGGAGTGTCGCAGGCTGAGGGGTGACCTTGTAGAGATTTATAAAATCATAAGGGACACGGAAACGGGTAAATAGACTAGATCTTTTCCCTGGGTGGGGGAGTCCAAAACTAGAGGGCACAAGCTTAAGGTGAGAGGGAAAAGATTTAAAAGGAACCTGAGGGGCAAATTTTTCAAACAGATGTGGGTATAGAATGTGTGCCAGGGGAAATGGTGGAGGCTGCTACAGATACAACATTTAAAAGGCATCTGGATGAGTACATGATTCATTGTCACGGGCACCGGAGTACAGTGAAAAGCTTTGTTTATGAGCAGTGCAGGCAGATCATTGTAAGCAAGGATGTACAGATCAAAGGTTGTAAAAGAAAACTTAGACAAAGGCATTCAGGTTACATTGCACAGGGCATGTGCTAGCATTAGCAAGATCAGCATTATTTGAGGCTAGAGAGTCCATTCATCAGTCTGATAACGGCCAAGAAGAAGCTGTTCCTGAACCTGCTGGTGCGTATGTTCAACTTCTGTACTTTCTATCTGACGGAAGTCATTACCGGGCTGTGATGGGTCTTTGATATTGGCAGCCTTTCTGCAGCAGTGAGTCATGCAAATAGAGTCCATGGATGGAAGGTTGGCTTCTGTGATGGTCTGGGCTGTGCACACCACCTTCTGTAGTTTCTTACGGTCCTGAGCAGAGCAGTTGCCATCCCAGGCTGTTATGCACCTGGACAGGGTGCTTTCAGTGGTGCATCTGTAGAAG